GCAGGAATGAAACTCTGCTGGCTCAAAAAGCCAATTTGCTGGTCTAATTGCCATGACAGGGCACCGCCAATGGCTAAACTCAAGGATATGCTCAATGAAGTAGCACCAGTGATTAAACTGGACATTCTCCAAAAGTATTTCTTGCACATCCACAGGTTTAAGGAAATCCAAAAAAACTCTGCAGGCTGTGATGGGTGAGGGGCTGTCAGGAAGGGGAGAGGAGAGTAGTAATATGGGCATTAGAACAGATCGTGAAAAGTCATGTGCCAGCAACAGTAGCAGACTGCATGCACTCTGACGTAGAAGGACCCTTCTAGGCATATGCCCTAAGTGCTCCATCATATGGGCAGGCTGGCAGGACTTGCGATTAGGTAGTATTCAATTAACTTCACAACTGAGTGTTTTTAGCAAAATTAGATACAAAAAGTACTGACTACACGCTAATGCGGTCTCGCCTTCCATGGTACAATACATACTTCTTCAATTACTTCTACAAGTTTGCACCTCAGGTTTTCCAGTTCAATGGTTAGGGTCTTCTTTTCCTCATGAACAGATATGATTTGATCTCGCAGCTCTATAGTTTGAGGAAGGAAATGAAAAATATATTTTATTCTTGGAAGAAAACAACAAAGGAAATGTCATAGCAATGCAAGTACAATAGAGTATGAAACACCTGAACTGCATACAAAGCATCAGTTGTATTCAAGGTACATCCTCAATAATTTAGGAACTTCGCATAAGTGTCAAGTAACAGATCTATAACTGGGCCACAGTTTCAGATTTACTCTATTGAGGTAAGCTGCCTTGTTCAGTACTGCTGTCTTTATTTGCATTCTGAATGATTCATTTCCTGCTACGACAGGGCCAATCCTGCCACCACAGAGTATCCTTAGTCCTACTCAGGAGACTGTCACATCACAGAGACTCTAGTACGGAGGTAGCAGAAAGCAATTTTTAATAGGCGTCCTTTAAAACAAATTAATGCACTTCAATTCTTTTTGGATCATGAGTTCTTGTCACAAGGGAAATAAACAAAACAACAGGCAGTTAATACTTGGGAGGTTTTCACTGAAGAAATTGTCCTGAACAGCTGCCAATTTATAGTCTTTGTAACATTATTGTGAACAGAGTCAGAATATAACCTTTACTGATGAAGAGCTAATGCTTGTAATTTTCCCCTCAGAATTTTTGTTCCTTAATTATCAAAATATGAAATAAATTAAATTCACAACAGAATAAAACATTTGATTATAATCACTTCTTAACAGGAGATCAGTTTGCATACATAATATATCAAGGTTTAGGTTAACATAACACCACAAAAATATAAATTTATTGATATATATTAGCTTTCAGTAAGTGCTCTCATTCCCCACCTGCTTCCAGTATTTCATAGCACTGCTGTTCGTTGAATACCAGCCACAAGTTGAGAAAATTGTTGCTAATCAATCGCAGATGATGATGACATGCTGGATGTCATTCTGTTTGGTCTCACATCTTGAAAACGTTGATTCTACCCCAGCCCCCACCCCTCCCAATTCAGGAGCCTCAGATTTATTTTTCTCCAAATTAAAGGCACACACATTCTAAAGTAAACAAAAAGACCTGTTTTCCCAGAAGATTCTTGAACCAAATTGTCTGTTTTATGGATTTGTGCTTTCCAGTGAAATTAATGGGGAAAAAAGTATCACTGAAATTTATGGTAACTGGATTAAGTCAGGTCTTACGATCGTATATCAACCTCATTATCCAGAGAAGAAAGCATATCCATATACCTAAATCTTTATAAATGTGTACAAGAAATGTTTCTTTTCAGATACAGGGTGTGCACTAAGCTACTTGACCAACACAGTTGAGTTTTCAGTTCTTGTTATAGCCAAAAGGACAGCTAAAAAGAAAACCCAAAACCTAGAAATGAATTTCAGGTACTGCTCTGAGACCACTCGACACTTCCATTAGGAACTACAGCTTTACTATCACCTTTCCCTAATGTAGGAGATACCTTCCTCTTATTTTGCTATCTGAGAGACAAAATTTTATCCCTTTAATAAACGAGAGGGTGTTAATCAAAGAGCCTCAGACTGTACTGCCTTATTTGTATATCCTTACAGAAAAGTGGTGGGAGGGAAGGAATCATTCCAAGAAACATCCAATATTTTGTTGAATGGTGAGAAGGCTAAAAGACTTCCAAGATCCCCAACACAAAACACAAATGTTTGGGATCATAAACATGCACAGAAGATCAGATTTCACCTTGGGCAACACCACAAGGAATTAAGGGGAGTCTTGCAAACACCTCTTTCATTGCATATGGTCTTTCACTTAGCAGGTAAACCAAGATGTAACTTCAGATTTTCCCCTTAAGACAAACACCATGCAGCTTGGCTTAGGCTAGGGACACAGCCCTGATTCTGCCTTTTGGTCCATGTCGCCAGATCACTCTGCTACCATACACACACACACACACTTCTCTCCCGGCACAGGGATGGAATATCTTCTCCTATAGCAAAAGGGATGCCAGTGCTTTTAAAAATACTCAGCACTTGTAAAAGCAAGGTCATTAACATTTAATAATAAGGCCAGAGAGAGGAGCAGAAGCCAGGAGTTCTAAATCCTTTACAACATGCCACATTTCGTTCTTTAATGAATTCTTTGTCAAGACAGAAAGCATATGCATCAGAGCCTTTCTAAAATATTTCTCTAACTTGACCCTGCCAGCCTCCTAACCATGTTCTCCTCTGATCTACAGCCAGAGTCTTTGCTCTCTTTAAATGTATCCTTGACATCTTTCTCCAATAAAAGACAGGAGGAACTACAGAGCCTTATTTCCAATTCAGATGGGTTGCATGGTGTGCATCACACTGTTCTCTGCCTCTTCTCCTACATCTATAGGATGGAAAACTGCTTATTATAGAAGGGTACTATGACATTTTATTTCTTGGGTTGGATTTTTTTAAAGCATTTTTACAACACTTGTTCTTTTTTCTCAGTGATACTTTGTACCACTTCATTGAGGCTGCTGCATTCAAACAGAAAACAATTAACAAGGTCAGGCTGAAAGTTCAGGACAGCTGTACTTAGACATCATTTGCTATTGTAACTTACTATCAGAAAAAACTGAAAGCTTTTTTTTAAAAAGTGAACCACTTAATCTCTCTCTCTGTCACCAAATGCAGAATGTGGGCATTCCCCTTTTTTGGAATGCATACAGAATCACAATGACTTCATCACAGACGACAAAGGAAGGCAGATTTTACATTACAGAAATACGAACTGCCTCTCAAAAAAGAACCAGAAATTTCTTAAAAAAGCACATATTTCTCTTATTAATGTATATCCACATTCCCAAGCTTTGCTGTTTTACCCAGTACAACAGTCCCTTTTTAAGGTGCTGTTTGGTAATAGCTCTGGAATATGAATGAAGTTTGCGCATACAAAGGTACCTAATGGAAATAGAAACGGAGAGTCCTGCTTACAAGCTTTGAAATAGTGACATTGCAGTTGAAGTAATACCAAGGTGACCTTGTCCTTCTGCTTAACTTTTACTTTGTTAAGGATCTGAGGAAATATTTCTTTTACCGACTCAGTGACACTGAATTCTCTTAGCTGTGCAGATCTCATTTTCCTATTGCATTGTAACCTACTTTGCAGGCTGTATATACACCATATACATTACACAGCATCACTACAAGCCTACCACATTCTTACAGTCTTTCCTGGAAATCCTTTGATGACCACTCTCAGAAGCATGACTCGAAGCCAGACGGATCTCTGGTCCAAACCAATACTGCCATTCTTTAGACAACTTTTGCATTGTATGATGGTGTAGGCTCAGCAACAACACTCACCTTTTATTTGCTGCTGACAATGCATAGAATTGCATGATCCAGAGTTAGCTTCTGTATCTGTGGATGAATCATCTTCATCAATGTTAATCTCTTCAGTGATAATTTCTGGGCCCAGTTTTGCCATATAAAGCATACTAATTCTTTTCAAGGTCTTATTTTCTTTGTTCAGCTGAAAGTTGAGAAGCACAAACAGTAAGAAGCTAGTTAGTCTTTTTTTTTCTTGCACAGCAGCTTAAAAAGTCAACTGTTTTTTTTTTCTCCCTTATTAAAAGATCTATCAAACAAAGAAGACAAAGTGACAGCAGATTAAATACTCCAACATTAACATGGTCTGAAGATGGGAAGCTTGTCCTCCTTCTCCTCTGAGGAGGCTTCAATTCAACATGATGCTTCATCCATGCCCTTCTTTCCTCTCTGGTACTTCTGACGAATAAATACCCTGTGTAGGTTTAAATCAAATCAAATCACCTATCAAGCTTACTTAATGCTACACATTCTTGGTGATAGCTGCTTCAGCTCCCTACCCTTAAGCATGTACCAGCATTAAGAGGAGCCCTAACTGGATGACCTGAAGAAGGGCCTGTGTTCCTGAAATCTCATCTGGTTTTGCCAGCTTTATCAATTGGTCAAATAAAAACTCTTACCTCCTCCTATGCCCTTATTTTGCTTATAAAGTACAAACACCACAACTACTATACTCCCAGTCATGGCAGAGTTACCTCAAAATTCTTTTGAATTATTTTAAATTCTCAGGAATTATTACTGTAGAGTCAATATACGTAAGATGAAAGCCGTATCATAAACCAATCCTTTATGGGTCAAACCACAAGTCAGAAATCACTCTGGGTTGGATGCTTAAACACATGCCTGGTTGGTGGATGGTACAGAAGAGGTTCTGTAATGCCTCTCTGTCTTGACCAAGGTGCCAGGAAAAAGTGAACAACAGGGATTGCTGCAAATGTTTCACTCCTACCATTTCTTTCACTGTGCTGCATCTAGATACCCCATGCCAGCAGCTCTCAGCAAGCTCAGCACAGTCTCAGTGCTATTCAGGCATATGCTGGGGTGACTGCCCACCCACCAGCCAAGTACTCCCTGCATTCAGGTCTAAGAATGAGGCTCAATTTTCTACTAATGATGTATAACATGTTGAAGTCAACATGCACTTCAGAAGTCCAATATTTACCTTGAAATAAAACATACACTGAACAGTTAGGCTGACCCTGAAGTTTTACCTAAGCAAACATCTTTGATCCCCCCTTCCCTCAGCCCCCCAACTACAGGAGATTTACTCAAGAACTTCTTCATCTCATTCCCAAAGAATGAAACTGAGCAAGAGGGAAGGGTGATGTAAGGAACCTTATTTAGTCAGCTCACAGCAACAAATAAATCAGCTTTGGCAAAGCAGCCCCATGGGGTAAAGCTAATCTTTGAACTGCCCCTGTACGTGCATTACAGGAAAAGTGCAAAGAAGAAGAAAAGTTGCATAAATACGTTCATTTTCTTACTTATATGCTGATTGTCTATCTTATGAATTCTAATATAGTGTCATTATGCAAACAATTAAGTAAATACCTCCAGAAAGTACATTGCTAATGCATCTAAATTAAAGTGATTTCTTGCTGGTGTGATTTTTACCATATCTAAGGATGTACTTTGGGCAGGGGATGGGGAGGGGAAAAAAAAAAAAGAAAAGAAAAAAAAAAGGCAGTCAGCATTGCTAATGAAATTTGGTTCAAAATTGCTGTAATCCATTTTCTGATGAAGTGGCTCAGATGCATTTTACACAACCAAAAATATATAACAGAGAGATAAAAACATTCTTTAATAATAATGCACTTCTGATGAGATGGAATATAGAAAATTACACACTTGCTAAATTCATCAGACTAGACGCAATCAACAGAGCAGCAGAGGTCACCTTTCCCCTGCCCTCGCTTTGCTTTCATAAACAATCACTTGAAATGTAATGCAGTGGTTGACTTTTTCCATTTGATTTAGACACTGAAATGCTCATTATTGTTTTATATCTCACACAGGACAGTTCTAAAACTTGTTTTCCATTTAACCTAAATGCATATAAAAAACAGATATCAAGATGCTGGTCCATGACTTACTTTTCCAAAATACAAACTAAATTAAAACGGATATTTTTTTCTTTAAAGGAATTGTATTTTGCATCTCACATATGACTTATAGTTTTTGCCACTTCAAAACAACTTCACAGATCTGCAAGATTATATGAAAATATATATGGGACATCTATACAATCACAAGTTTAAAAAAAAAAAAGAAATCAGATGAAACAGAATCACCATAATTCTTCTCACCTTAGAAGCCAAAGCCTCAGCACTTTCACGGCACGTCTTCTCAATTTCAAGATGGTTCTGAATACAGTTTACTTCCTCAATAACCATGTGAGAAACTAGGGGAAAAGTTTAAAAATTAGCCAGTATTTTCCTGCATGACACATGCATTTGACACATGCATCCCATGATCAGAAATATTACATCTTTTTTTGTTACCTTTCTACGCAAGCACTTCAAATACAGGGAAGTAAGTACTTAGATAATCTCCATGGATGGGAACTGTTCAGAACATTGAATATCTGGTTCATTGCTTTAGGCAACTCTCTCAAGCTATCTCTGCAGCATTAGAGGGGGAACTGGAGAACTGAGCATAAGCTTATGGAAGTAGAAGGCCAGCAGGAGCCTCCCTGACCATCGTCATTCACCATCTTTATTTCATTGACACTTGAGGAATCAGAGTCAGACCACGAGGATTGTCCCTTCAGATTGCCATCATAATCCTCTTGGTATGGACGCCATTTTCAGAAGATTGGAACCTCGATGCTTTTAAACAGCAAGATTAACTCAGGTGTCTTACAAAGATTATTTTCACCTTCCGGTCTTCAGGTTTATATGGTATTTTAAGTATCATCACACTTGCTAAACACACTGTACAAGAAGAGCTGCAGGATGGACACATGGCACAGGCCTGGGGCAAGTTTACTAGGAAATGGAGAAAGGAGTTCAGTGACCAAAGCCTCCATATTTATAGTGCCTCCTACAGCACATATTCCACTGAAGTCAAATCATTAGCACAGCACAGTTCCTTCTTCCAGTTCTGCCCCATCAGCTTCAGCGCTAGCTGCAGCAGCTGGGATACACCCTGATGGATGCAATCCTGATGGAAACTCAACACTGCCTGCACTACCCGGTTTTTGACAACCTCAGATAGAATCATAGAATGCTTTAGGTTGGAAGGGACCTTGAGAGATCATCGAGCCCAACCCCCCTGCAGTAAGCAGGGATTGAACCCGTGAACTTGGTGTTATTAGCACCATGCTCTAACCAACTGAGCTAACCCGGCTGAACAACCCAAGTTCTGTATTACTACATGGCTGTAACATCTGAACCATTTCTTATTTGAAGTCTCTCTGTGCTTGAGCATGCCCTAAAACAAGCACTGTGGTCTCACACCCCACCTTCACAGTCCGACACAGATTCAGACACCAGCACACACCACACATGGACACGCACAATCTTCTGTGAGACCAGGGCCAAGAGCGAGCTGCCTAACTGCATCTGAAATACATGTCTGTGCTACTGTAATTGATGTCACAGCTGGAAGAGCAAGAGACACATCTGTCCTTTGCACTTACAGGATCCCTATTACCACAGTGGGTACACATCACTGTATCGAAGATACGCAATATTCCTAGAGTGACCAAAAAGTTATGGAACAAATATTATTTTGTTACAAATCTTATTTTCTAACATAGGATACCAACGTGAGTTAGAGGACATTTAAAAGCACAGATGCATTTCGGCTTGCAATTCCTCTCAACTTCCAGCAGTACGTAGGTACTTAACTAGTGTTGAAAGTCATCTTCTAAGTGACAAGCTTCAGGTCGCACAGGGGATCTGGAGCAAAGCAGAAAACCCAGCAATAGTTTGCCATTTCTCAGGCTAGCACCCTGCTCATTGACACAACTCCTCCTTGCTCCTCCTTGGCTCCTGGCACCCTTAGTCATCCTAAGCAGCAGCCTGGACCCTAATTCTGCAAGTCATGTCATGGCGCAGATTCCTCTTCAGGCCAGTGTCAGGAATTCAATGTGCAGAAATGACTGTTTGCAGCTGCACAATACTTTGGAGCAGGAAGAAGGCTGGAAGAATATAGTGTAAATATGGAGGGCTTTTTCTAGTATCTCCTTTCATTTTCATGAAGATAAACTTTAAAAACTACTGGGTAGAAAGTCCCACCTGCCCTCTTCCAAGACTTTTGTCTAAAAACTGAGGACAGATAGTTAAGTTCTCTTTGATACCCAGAGGTCATCTTAATGACTACAAAACAGGACTTTAGGATAGAAAAAAGCGGGCTGTTAACAAGTGTCATTTACGCAGATTTACTGATACATAGTCAATATTAACTAACGTTTTCATAAATAACACAGGAAACCAGCAATACATTGGAGTTTGCTGTCAAATCAGTAGCTGCATGCAAGAAACAAGTTCTACAAAGTATGAGCAGCCAAAAAAAAAGAGTAGGGCAGAGTACTGGGAAATCTTGGTCCAAAAACTATATCTGCACAAAGTCCTCTAATAGCAGAGCAACCACACCTGCTTCCCTGCTTGTCTTTTTATTTCCATTTTTTCTGGCTTTGAAGAAATTATCTGCTCCAAGCATGCCACACCAGCTGCTACATTTAATTTGAGAGAGGAAAAGCTCCAGGTAGTACATGTCCATATCTCTTCTGTTTTTATTCTACCTAGCTCTGGGAATTGGGAGAAATGAAATGCTTTGGGTGGGATGACACAGCAGTGGAGACAGAGCTGCTCCCATTTTACAGACAGGAACCTAATGGCCTCGAGCAAGGCTAAAGTTAGGAAACAAGGATTGGGCTCACATGGCAGAACTAGGGATTACTCTTGGTTCATTTAAACTTAATTAACCTGCAATTATGATTAACTCAGGGGAAAAAAAATCTTTCCAAATTAAATACAAAAATATATTATTTCCTAAGTCTGTCCAAAGTTCTTATTATGTCAATATTAAAATTCATAAAGCAGCACTAAGTGGACTGAAACATCTCTAACCTTGACAGTTTTTTTCAGGGGTAATAATAATCCGCAGCAAATGCAGGCCAACCAAAAACCACTTAACTAATTAGTAGTTGCAGTCACCGAGAAAACATGAATCAACACTGTTATTACAAGTGGCACATTTGAGTGGCATCTAATTATGACTTGATGAGCACGATACTTGCATTATCAACATTACTACTGCATCCCATCAGGGACTAAAAGCCGCTGATGGCATTGACTGCGAGAAACTCCCACTCAATGGTACTGCAGCACCCAACAATCTCCTTGGCAGGGGCACCCTCACTAAATGACATGTTAAGCATAATTACTGGTAGACATTGTAAATAAACAGGATTGGAAGTGAAAATTGTACCAAGTGCATAAGACACAATCTGACACATTGGAAGTGGCAGCCTTAATTGAGAGTTTCTTTGACTGCTCAAGATCATTTCAACTGCATTTCTCGGAGGACAGTGATTATAACTGTGGAGACAGACGGCATAATGGTATCAGCACTGCTGACAGAGCAGTGAATTAAATTGTATCTGCTGTTGTGTGAAAGCCTTGATGAGAGGTACAGATCCTTAGTGGTCTTATCATTATAACACAATGGTCATGTTGTCATCAACCTTGCTGGCTCCAATTGAAAAGAAATGATTGTGTGTTGAAGCTTTCCCCCCCACCACCACCTTCTATCTCTTGTGCTCAATAGAACCAATTTTCAGAGAGCTATGAAATCACGCAATAGGGCCTAAAATGCAGCTGCTTGGCATACAAACGGGGCCCCATTAAACTGGAATCACACACAATATGTGTTTATGCCAGGAGAACAAATAGAAGCTGAGTACAGGCCAAGTTTATTCACAGACACAAAGCCGATGTAGCTCTTCATCAATATAATTGCCTTTTATATTGTCGTTTAAATAATGGGCTCTATTATTGCCTTAAAATCCTAATATTCCTGGCATTTTATCACTATGTTTACAAGGTATGTCCTTTAAAAATGTGAAAGGAAGATAAAAGAAACCTATAAAATTTTACAACATCAAATATTACTTCAAATTTTAAGTCTTAACTACTTGACATTTTCTGCCACACTCTTGGTATTCCTTGTATCATAACAAAAACAAAACTGGCTGCAATTTTTTCCAGAGGAATTAGACTTCTTAGAGAACATTCTTGCCTCACAGAACAGTTATCGAAGATCATTTAAGGCAGTAGATGATTCCTGTTGATTTCAGATTATTTTCCATAATTGTATCACATGAACAATTATAAAATAGAAGTGAGCAAATTCCTCTATTAACACAGTCACACAAAAGTACAGGCCATGTGATTTCCTTCTCCTGCATTAACTTCATCCACATTTCTGATGCTTTGTTGTGCAGTTCACCATAGTGGCACAAACCAGACATAACAGACCACAATCCTATTGTAATTGTCTCTTCTAAGGAGCTATTCCACTAGGATACTTCCACTCCCATTAGATGTGCTTTGTTGCTTCCAGGCACCGTATAGTTTCAATAGAACCATTACCATAAAAGTGTAAAACTGAATATTGACATTCTCATAGACCAGACAAGACAGAACTTGCTCCAAAAATTATCAAGAGACAGCAGTTCATCCTAAAAACCTTTATTGGTGTGTCTATGCTTACAGTAATTTGGCTCATTCTTCATGAAAAAATTACCATTATTATTATTATTATTATTATTATTAGCAAATCTTAGCAATAGGGTCAAATCCCATTCAATCCAAGCATGTATCATTCTAAAAGTCACTTGCAGAATCCAGGTGAGATAGAGCCACGTTTGTTATCACTGTATTTTCACCACTTTGCACCTTAAGAATGGCTACCTGTGTTGGAGCGTATAAATGCTGTGACAGCAGTTAGTCTGATAATGGTCAAATTCTCACTGGATTAACTCCATAAAACAAGGCTTTGGAGAAGAAACAGCAAGTGGACCCAAATCCCAGCATTAACACTGCTGTAGAGTATGCACAGTGATGTTCATAACTCTCTATACCAAAAAATTCCCACTAACATTATCAACTTACTTTTCTGAAACTCCTCCAGTTTTCTGACAGCCTCATCTCGTTCTTGCTTGATTTTGTCACACTGTAGGAAAAGAGAAAATTGAAATGAAACACTGATCCCAGTTATTTAATTAGCAGTCAGTCACAACATGCAAAATCAACACAGATCAATTGCCGGCACAATAATGTACAGAAGCCTGTCAAAGCATCATTTCTTTTTGCTGTCAGTCATGTAAGATCAATGGACACTATACATAAAAAATTCATTACCCAGAGTATTTCCTAGCCAAACTGGCAAGTTGTGCTTGATTTTAGGTTCCAATTCAGAGCTACTCTGAAAATATTTTAGAAGAGCCACATTATCCAAAACTGATATAAACAGTTATCCATGTTCCACAGAACAGTAAAAGCAATACTTTGTATGTCAAGAATGTGCTTTAAGTCTAGTTTCTTTAACACAAATAGACTTGGAAGAGAGGCCTACATTTCTATACCTACCATGTGCAAGGAAAACCTCAAAGCCAATAAACACAGACATACTGTTCAGTTTTATAACATCACGAGCAAAGCTTCAGCCTTGAAGAGGGGAAGACACACAGTTTTGTACTTTGAGTCTTTCCCATCACCCCAGTTTTATTAATTTTGGGGTTAATGCTAATACTACACGGGGCTGCAATCACCGACCTTATGATGGAAAGGTGTCTTCAAAGAGAAAGAATAAAACAGATGTTAAATCTCTAAGAAAACCCCTTCTATAAGCAAATGAGAGAACTCAAAGAAATGAGGAAACTTCACAAGAGATGCAGTCAGTGATTAACCACACTGTGAAAAACACATGACACAGGGGGAAGTACAACTGGCACACAACGTGTCTTACACACACGGCGTACCAGACATCCTTCCTCACATGCGGCTGTGTATGTTCACAGTAATAAATCAACATAAGACTGTGAGTTAACTTCTGGAAGAGATCTGTGTGGCTGAGCTCCTGACAGTGTAACTGTAATTACAAGGATACCGGTCATTGGCACAGAACTGGGAAAAAAACCCTGAAATTATTTTGCTCGATTTTCAGTTTTTCCACGAGGACCCCCTTTGAGTTAACTGGGAAGGGAGCCTGCTGTTAAGTAAAAAGAAGGGGGAGAGCCTGATTCAAAGGCAGCCAAATTCAACAGAGCCCTTCTACGAGCTCCGGAGGACCTTGGATGAGGCCCAAAGAAGGATCTGCTCTTGGGCAAGGAGAAGATGCCATCGGTGTCACCTCAGGGGCAGCCTCCACGCAGGCTTTGGAAGCCGCTGCTGATGGCTATCTGTAGGAGCAAAAGGAGCTGCATTCAACAAGCAATCTCTCTTCTTGTAGCACTGGGGTGATGAGGCAAAGGACAGCAGCCGAGTATGGGGGACAGGTCGGTTGCTGGCTGCTGTAAAGGTCTCTGGAACAAGGAAGAGCTGCAGAAGGAGCAAGACATGGCGAGCAAGCGGCACCAGATGAGGACTCACTGTTTCATCTGGCCCTGTTAACAAAGAAGCTGGTTAGAGAATCTTGCACGGGAGAGGTGGGGAAGGGGAATCTCTACATCTATCTTGCTGCTTGCTGCCCTCCCTCTCAGTTTCCTCAGCAAAAATTTGCCTTACCTTACTGACAGAAGTGCAGTCTAAGAACAGAAGGCAGTAAAAGACGCAGAAAGAATTTCTGATTGTTCCTGCAGAGCACAGCTGTGCTGCAAAAGGGGGATCAGCGTGAGCTGCTGCCTCTCCGTATTTTACAAGAGAGACACTGTAACCACACTGGCATACTTCACCCACGGATTTTTCTGCATGCTGCAAGCTTTCAGCCCACTGCACATTAAGTGAGCAAGCACTTTTAATGCTCAGTTTAAAAACCAGGAAGATTAGCGTTTCAAGGATCTGATCTGTTGCCTGTGGAAGTCAACAAGACACTTTCCTACTGATGGAAATCTTGATGGAGAGGATGCGGTACACTCCCTATCCCAATGGTAGGAAAAGCTCCTTTTGAAATCCTCTAGCAACATGCTGTAAGGCATAACAGCTTTCCCTGTGCAGCACAAGGAGAAGTTAAATGACCTATTCCACTTCACCTTGAGTGCTATTTGCAGAGAGAGCTCCATTTGGACCACGGCAAGCTGACTATTCTCCTGATAGCTACGCATGTTTCTCTGCACAATCAGGGTCTGTAGGTTTGGGTCTCTGCAGAGCAATTCCTGCTCCCAGTTGCAGCTTTCTGAGTATTTTCCTTTCGCTGCTACTGTGCTTCAGAATGAAAGAGCAGGAAGAAAAGGAGAGCGGGAGATTGTTGCTGTTGCTGAAATGATCAATGGAAAGCACTTTGCCTTTTGTCTTGCAATCAAACCCTTGCAAGCAGAGCTGTTACAAGTCCTACCAAAAAAACCTAGTTTGTCTCCAATTTAGCTAAGAATTAGGAAAAGTTGAGATTGTCTTTAACTACTTGCAGTGTTTCAAACTGGAAAGTTATGCAAACAAAATATTCATGTAAAGCAATTCAGTTTCATAATAAAAGACATTGTCACCCCTTAAAATAAATTGACCTTACCTTTAAAACAGGAAAGTTTAAAAATATCAAAATTTATAAGTGTTAGCTGCTCTCTAAAAGCTGCACGGAAACCTTCAAAATTCACAACCACCTCACTTTTCAAAAAAGCAATTTGAGGCATATACAGTAGAATTGTTAATTGACAAGAATATCACTAATCCTAAATGTTAAAAGGCAAATAGCATAACATTACTATAAAATCCTCAGTTCACTTTTCACATTCAAGTGCATGCACTTGTTAAGGATAAACAGCTTTCAAGTATTTACGAAGTCTCCTCTTGTCAGTATTAACAGATAGCTCCACACTCAAGAGTACCCTCAAATGAAAAAAAAAAAAAAAAAGTCGGTAACTCCTGGATTATCAGTCATTTTTCTGTTTTTAACTTTATTTTGTTAAAAGTTCCAGCTTCTCTGCAGAGGAAAGTAAGAATTTAAACCATTTTATTTACTGTATTTTTAATCTAATATTTACAGCACTGTTATCCCAATAAAAACCAAAGGTAATAGACAATATTCCCACTCCAGTCCTGAACTAGCTACAGGAGTCAATGATAATTTCTTGGCAATAAAAAGACATTGCATCTGTATTTTTAGAAACAAATAACAGTTCCATTTCCAAAATTCATTTTGTGAACAACTCCTTATGATTTTTCATCTTTGCAGGAGCAAGTTCAGGAGCTTTGCCAATCCCACTCAATTTCAGAGTTTTGCCTTCTAGGTACACAAGATACGAGGCAACACTTTCATTTCCAGCACAGAAAACTGGTATGTGGACTACTTACAAGTAAATCACGTATGTGTCAAAGATCAGTGTTCAACCAAATATTGCATATATAGCAAGGTGAATAGCAGTACGTGAACTTGGCCTGTACTTGAAGTCAGCACAATACCAGGATAGCACCATGCCATCACGGAAACCTAACACTACAACGTGATGCTGGGAAGTCGATGCACACAACCACCTGGAAGCCTCTGGATACGCAGGTCTCCGCACACCCGCTCCCACCAGCCTAATGACTCTATGCCACTGATTCCAGGGAGGCCTGGGTTTCTTGTCTACGCTAACAGGCTTCTTTTTTGCCAACTACTTTGCACATAAGCTCCTAGTGACTTCAGTAAAGGCCTTCAAAGGGCAAAAACAAGAAGGAGATTGTTCAGTCCAGATATTAAGATGCAAGAAGTTCACGTAGTGGCCATATAGTCAATTAAGCCATTGCTAGGCAACACAAGATACACTCATTCCCATTTACACAGATTGTGAAATTTATGCAGATTTAATGCTTGTTCTAAAATTATGAGTTTGGTACAGCTCTCAAAAGCATCCTATGACATTTGCTATATTCTACTACAGAAAGAATGAGGATGTCATCAAGGCAGAATACCTTCTCCATTCCCATTTGGTGACAAAACATATAATCCACCCTATACGTGTGCTTTAACAGAGCAAACATCATGAATGATATATCAGAGATACAGTATTACACCTACTGTTTTGGAAAGCTGTCTTGCTTTTTTTTTTCCCCTACTTGGCAGCATGACAAAACACTGTCAAAACCAGCGTTCAGAGTCATTTCTGTCTGATTAGCAAGTAGTCAAATATTTATTCATGATCTGACTCTGAATACGTCAGAACCGCATATTAAGTTATCTACGCTTGCGTGCAACTGAACGTTAGTTATCTATTTTGGGGGGACTGGTATGCATGTTTAGTCAGCTACTTGCATTAAAAGGATGACCTAAGAGAAGAAATCTGCCAATGTCATTTGGCTCCCATTTTTGAAAGTATTTAAAAATACTAATAAAAAAATATGCCTGCACCAATTTTGTCAGAGACCCCACCAGAGGTCTCCAAATTGACAGTTTAGAAAGGCAATGAGGAAGAGACACTGCGGATCAAAGATCTTATATTTCGCTCCTGAATTTTCATGGCTATTAGCATCCTTTTAAACAGCAGTGCTTTGAACAAAGTAACATACATAAAAGTCAATTTACTTTCTAATCCTAAGAAAAAATACGGAACAAAGAGCATAAATTTTCAAAAATTAAAATTACATCTTACAGTTAGCTGCCTGTTACGCACCAAGTTCCATGTTTCTAATATAAACTAGGATCATTTCTCCATGACACAGCTCATGTTTCAGAGCCATACAAGTGTACTGGTGACTTAGAAAAAAATTCCACTGAGTGTGTCAAAAGCACATACATACAGACTACTATCTAACTCCTGTGTGGTACTTTCCACAAATAATCTGCAAATCTTTTTCTAAAAAAATTAATTCTCTCTTCTCTTCCTCTTATCGATGCATTTATGTGACCACAATTGATACAGAGGAAGCCATTTGCTTACACTCATACTGACAGACAGTGGCAGAAACTGGCACAGAAGTCACTCACAACTTTCCAGACCCACAGGCAGAAATAGCCTGTGCTATACTTCTCCAATATCCGGTTTGATCCTGCAAAGCATAAACTAAGATACCAAGTTAGAGACACGCTAACGAGCTTTCAGGATCACCCAGCCCTGCAATAACACGAGGAATAGTTTCTTCCAGTATTGGCACTGTAAGCAAACATAACCATGAACCCTGTATCAGCAGATTCTTTTTTTTGTAGCAGAAATGCACTTAGGGCCTCACACTTAACCACTTGAGTCCAAGCACTTAAACAATTAAGCAGGACTGCTTACACAAGCACACCAATTTGCAGGATGGAGGTTCTTGGATGGAGAATACTTGCATAACAACTGAAAATCCTCCAACCCTGAGCACATGCTTCACTAATTTGCCCGACTGGGGATGTAATCCCCATATGCTCAGGGTTGAAGGATTTTCAGTTGTTATGCAAGTATTCTGAAAAACATCATATCAACCTTCAGAAGAAACACACAGAAGCGGCTAGAGATATGCAGTTATAGGAAAGAAGTCTTGTGAGAGAGAGAAGCAAGGAAGAAAGAAGAGCAGAAGGCAAGAAACAATCTCAGAACATCTCATTTCACCTCAATTTTGGCAACAAAAGTTTTCTTTGGAATTGCCTTTGCAGAAAAGAATTTTCTAAACAAAAATGCAGCTCAAGTAAAGCCTCCTCATTCGCCCCACTCCCCAACCTAAACAAAGCTTTGTTGAAGAAACTCCAAAGCTAGCAGGACCTGGGTTCAGGGCAAAGCTGGGGAGCCCATTTTTCATGCAGTCAACAGTCCTGGTGTGGAACTACTCACGTATGATGGAAGCCAACAATCAGCGTGGGCTTTTGGGGGAGGAGAGCGGATAAATTCAAGCGAGAGAGCTGTGGAGGGCAGCACACATGGAAACCACATGCAGCTGAGGAAGTCCCCAGGCTGCAAGTGGTTTGGAGACTAGAGGAGTACTCCGTGGAGCTGTTACACATGCTGTTACACTTCTCCCTCTCTGTTGTTGCCAGAGATGGGATACCGGGCTACACGGACTCTTGGTCTAATTCAGTTTCATCTTCCTTTTCTTCTGAGCACTAGGAGATGAACTGCCACAGTCTTCCGAATAGCAAAAATAAGAGGACAGATTTCCTGGTATATCTGAGGCTCTGGTGTAGGACAGCAGAACGGGAATACAGCAACAAGCACAGTAAAAAAGACAAGAAGGTCAGTGGGTAAGAGGGAGTGAAGCACAATATGCTGAGGTCCGTGGAAATACACATAATCATTGCTGAAGCATAATGTAAAGATAAGCTTCAAGTTTTCCTTAATAATGAGAAAGTAGTTAAGGACAAGGTCTTCCCAATACAGCCTTGAATTGCAACGTTTGTAACAACTGGACTAAACGCAACCCTTCAGAAATGACTTCACAAAAAGCTAAATTATTTGAAAACTAACATGTTTCTTGCATCTTCAGCTCGCTAATACTGGAGAAAGGAGACTTTTCTGTTTACAATACAGTGTAGCACTGACTTCTCTGCCTTCCTCACCATCTAGAACTGGTAAGAGGCTTTTACTGGCCACAGTTTCTTTTGGCGGGTATCTGCTAAAAACCTTTTGCACATTGACACGTATTTACGCAACCCAACACTGCCATCAAATCTCCGAGAGTTCTCTGTTCCTGTTGGCTTCCTCACAGAAAGCAGGTGTGTTGAATGAACAAGAGTCCCAGGTGGGAAGAGCTGCTTTACTGAATGTGCTTCATTTCACTACTAGGAACACAACATATCATAATTACAATGAACAACCTAGAAAGCGGTCATTATTTCTTACTCGAGTATCTCTGAACAGTAAAAAATGAAGCCTGCAGTAATGTATGAAGTTCAGCTCATACGTTCAAAGCCTCTTTTCAAGTTGGACAGGCACACAGATTTCACAGAAGGATATGTGATATGCTGCAAATCTGTTCTATGCTGCAGTACCATTCTGCAAGTTGAGATAAGACATCTTGCTCT